AGTAGCAGTAGCAGTAGCAGTAGCAGTAGTCCTCGTTATTGTGTCATAGGTGATACATGGCTATCAGAAGATCATTTACAGATGGAAAAAAACATGACTCGGCCTAACCTCGATCTACAGAGGAGAGACATAAATGACCTTTATCGTAATAAACCAAATCTTAACTTAGGGAAGTATTTTTACATTTTGTTCAGCGTCATCTTTTATAATCATCTAAATCATTCGGTATTGAATGCCTAATGAGAGGAACAAGAGAGATTGTCAATTAGCATTAACCGCGCTTTCAAATATGTTTATACAAGCTAAAGCTCAAGTAAAACACAATTTAATTGTATGATTTTATTCTCGATTGGCAGTGATTGGAGATCAACTTTATGTAAACGTAACGACAGCGCTCATAATCTGGATTGACGAGATGAGCTGGGCATATCGTGAATGAGGTGAAGAGGATTAGAAACACGAATATCAAAGCACAAGTCTAAGCTGACGATTTAAAACGTGAAGTTTAAAACGCCAACGGAGCAGATATAGCTGAGGATCGACATGAACGCAAGTATTGTGAATTGCTCTATGATTCAAGGGCTTTTGAACTGTAGCGACCACAACAAGTCATTGCACCGCGAGGAGGATGAAGAAGATCATGAAATGTACTTTGGTTTTAGTGCAGATCAAGACGTTTTTCCTATCGTCTTAACGGCTTTGATCATCATCATCAACACCTTTGTCCTTGTCTTGGTGTACAAGAGAAAAGCTCTCCGTACTGTCACAAACTACGTCCTTTGTAGCCTTGCAGTGTCAGATTTGTTGACGGGCCTCTTCAGTATTCCAATCTACTTGGCTTGTAACATCATTAGAAAGCCTGAAATATGCTTCTGGTCGGAGATAATGCTACGCCTTACTTCTATCTCCACCGTTCTTCACCTTCTGATGGTCACTATGGATCGGTACCTTGCTATCATTTACTCTCTTCGCTATCATTCCCTTGTGACGAAGAAGCGAGCCGTTCTTGTATTAAGCGTCATTTGGTGTGTTTCCTTGTTCGTTGCTCTAATACAACTTGCGTGGACAACACCTGGAATGAGCGTGGATAAACGACCAGAGGACATCAAAGATAAAGAAATCCCTTACGATCTTCTGTCCATCGTGGTTTTCTTTGCGGTTCCTCTTCTTGTCATGCTCATCACCTACAGCTGTATTTTCTTTGAGGTTCTGCGCCAGTCTCGCAACATCAAGAAGAACAGCGTTCCCGGCTACATGGAAAACCGACGCCAAGATCGCCACGAGTGGAAAGCCGCCATCATGTTCGTTATCATGGTAGTCGTCTTCGTAGTGTGCTGGCTGCCCTTTTTTATCATTCGTATACAGCACAACTTCAGCAATGCTTTCTTCGTTCTTCCAGATGTGGCCGAATACATTCTCATCATGCTTCGGTTTCTGACCTCCTTCATCAATCCTTGTCTGTACATCTTTGGAAAGCACGACTTCAGGAAGGCTTTGAGTAAAGTATTTGGGTTTAAAAGAAGGCCGAGCCGTTCCGAAACTACTAGATCCTCCTTGCTCAAGACAACCGAGATGTAATTAAACCACTTGAACCGTCCTCTTCTTTTAAAGCTGCTTTGATTAGGAACTGAGTTGGAATGAGACGTCTAAATCAACCGCTCTCTCGACTCCTTTGTGGACACATTGAGGGGCAAAATTTTATTTTAGAATAATAAGGCCGAAAAGTAAAAACAAAGTCAAAACACCCAGACCTTAGGACTTGAAGAAAACGGATAAGAAAAAAGGGCATTTTAGAGGATATATTTTCCTTTATTGTTCGGTACGTGAGATCGAGAAACTGTGAACAATTTGTTGAGTAACTGAATGGACAACAATGGCACGTCTTATGCTGTAGTAATACCAAGTATGCAGTTGCCCTAATCTAACCCTATCCTAGTACGATTTCTCTCATACATTTATAAGACGAAGTGGTGAGTCCTAATCTAGCCCTATAGTACGATTTCTCTCATACATTTATAAGACGAAAAGGTGAGTTTAAAGACGAGACTGTATTGGAAATTGATAGGAAAGATTGTTATAAACGGAATTGTCTGTCTTGTACCGGAATGTTTTGGTGATCATGACCGCGCGCTTGATCCAAATAACTTAGGCTAGTTTCGCAGGATTAACAGAACTGACAGCTGAATGGTATTTGACTTCTTCCCGATCAGGAAATTAATCTTCGATAAATAAAGAAAAAGACGAAAATCCATGTAACTAATTGCAGCGAATTTGATCACGTCTGCGATAGAAGGATAAACTTTTGAGATATAAAAGTCGAAAATAGACGCGCAAATTTTGCAGTTTAGGTATTGTCTCGGTGGCACCTTCCTCGATAGAACAGTCTTGTCTGTATTTACATAGAAGTAATACAAAAAGTTGTGTACATCTTTAGATAAATATGGAAGTCGAGCCTCTGGTTTGACATACCCGAAAAATTCATTACTTTACAAGCTACTTTCAATTACACTCGCAATCCGCGTCACGTAATCGTTTCCCGCCATTAATTGGAATGTCGGAGGTAAATATGAATTAGTTTGAACAAATTTTTGAATTGGAAATCCGAAAAATTGGCAGTTTTGAAAGGGATTGTTAATGAAAATTTAGATAACATCTTGTTTCAACTTTTTAACGTAGTTTATTTCTAGCGAAAATTTTGCTTCAAATTATAAAGCCACTTATGTATATATATATTTTCTATAAACGATAGTGTTTACTCATAGAGTCAAGATCATTCGAGAAAGATTTTTATTTTTATCAACTGCTAATCAGAGTTGTCAATCCAAAATGGCGGGAAATGGTCACGTGTCACGCTTATCGCCCGCTACCGCACTTCTTGGTCCGTTGCTGTTTTGTTTTTAACCTCAAAAGCTCAAAGTGGTATGTGATTGGCTATTTTCATTGGGTTATTCACGTAGATACAAGCTGCAATAAGGAGGGCAATAAGAAGTTACAAATCACAAAAATCGCTCAAGTTATAGACAAGTCGCTATCGGTCCTTTTGATGAAAGAAACTAAAATCAAAAGGAGTAGAGACTTTAGGATTTGTACGCATGCGTTCTATCATGTTTGGTAGATTGTGATTGGACCAGATTATTTTTTATGCGCATGCTTACTCCATGCATGATCAAATAACAATGCGATTGGATAAAAAGGCTTTGGCTAAGGCGTATGCTTTTTTTTTTTTTTGATCAGCCTAGTTTGCACTGCGCATGCTCAATTCACGTTAAGTCGTGATTCGAGAGAAGTATAACCTACTTCAACATAATACTAAATTTTACTTTCTACTGTAAATAGACATTTATCCATGGGCCTGTTTATATATAACCCTTCTGTGTACGAAAAGAGAAGCCTGTAATCATAATCGCAATGCTCATTAACAATAAGATCATTCTGTAATTATATAAGTCATCATGTAGCTTAGAGCGGTTTTCGTACGAGATGGAAACGATATAACACGGCAAATTCTTATTCGTAGTTTAGCCGTACCGCTTCTTACTGTAGCCGTAATTATGCGTTGTGGTTGAATGAATTACTAGATGACAAACCATTCTTATGGGAAGCCATTTCGATGTCACGCCATGTCGTACCGTGTGTGCGATGTAAGGCAGTACGTATTGTCCCCATTTATACGATCACCAACCTTTCGCGGGAAGCATTCTCAATGTTACGGCATGTCGTAACGTGTATATCGTGCTTGCTGTAAGTCAGTAACAAACGGTCGTTTCCCACTCATACGAAAACCGCTCTATAATTTCCTCTATGATAATAGTAATCATCATACATATAAGATATTAAAGCTATATGCGCATTCTGAATGGTTAAATTAAAGCTTTGAAATCACCTGAATTACAATGATATCACAAGAGAAAGAGTGTTGCTATTCTAACTGAAAGAGTTGTTTAATTTATTGGGATGGAGATTAAAGTAATAATAATGTACCTATATTTAACGTCCTTCAGCTACGTGGCTGGTATCAAGGAAGCCGACGAATGGTCAGGAACACTCTTAAAGTGCTACTACGACGAAAATCGCTCAAACTTGGATTCAGCTGAAACTTCCTAAGAATACTCTTTAAAGGTCCAATAATCACTGTATGAAGTGTTTTCTC